GGGTGGACTTTCCTACTACCTACCTACCTGACCTGAGGCCACCTACTTGACCTGAGACTTTTCCTACTACCCGGGGTGGACTTTCCTACTACCTACCTACTTGACCTGAGACTTTTCATACTACCTTTCCTACTTGACCTGAGGCCACAGGTAGCATGAGGGAGTAGCAAGGAGGGATCTGCAAACCTCCCCTTGCCTGTGTCCTGGCAGAGCAGGTCTGTTCCTCCAAAGTTCCCCAGAGACACAAGTTTGAGCCTTACTGTGGCCTCAGGTCAATGTCCTGGGAGTGGGGACAGGGCCGTGTTTCCCCTTAAAATACATATCCAGGTAGTAGGCAAACGTGTGGCCCTTCTGCTCACTCAGACCTCAAACCTCTCCGTGCACCTCTCGCCACAGAAGAGATGTGAATGGTCATGTTGGCCTCAGCAGTTCGTACACTCCCTGACCCCAACACGTGGCAGGAGAGGCAACCAGAAAGCTGCACAAATGCACAGGCCACACAGGCAGGCTGTCCCCCATGCCCGTGTCCTCTCTCCTTCCCAGGACGAGTGGCACTACCTGCTGTCAGGGGGGGCCATAAAGACGATGCGGGAGAACCCAGCTCCCGAGTGGCTGTACGAGCGAGCGTGGGGAGACATCCTGGCCTTGAGCAACCTGCAGAATTTCTCCAGCTTCGCAGATGATTTTGGGGAAAACCTCACAGAGTTCAGGGCCATTTTTGACAGCCCCAAACCTCACAGGTGAGTCCACTGTACCCTTTCCACATGGCAGTCTGCACTAGCTGGGCACCTGGAATTGCGGCTTGCCTCAGCCCAGCATCACTTGGTGCTTTCCCAGTGGAAGCAGCTGTCTGGAAGGGCCACAGCCCCTCTGAAGCTGCTGTCTGCAGACAGCTCAGGTGATCCTGAGGAGCTGCAGCATCTGCCATGTCCCCTCAAAACACACACGATTGCTTTGCAGAGAGCCCCTACCTGGGAAGTGGGACACTGAGCTCGATGCCTTCCAGAAGCTGCTGGTTCTGCGATGTCTGCGGGGAGACAAGGTCACTGATGCCATGCAGGACTTCGTGGCGCTGAACCTGGATCAGCGCTTTATTGAGCCGCAGGTGACTGTTCCAAACGAGGTGGTGGCAGCACTAGGATGGGAGCAGGAGGTCCTGAGCCCAGGGTCATAGTTTCCCACTGCAGTGAGGATGCCAGTGCCACTCTCTGGCCAGAGCGGAGGGTGGCACAACACCGCATCCATCTGAGGAAACACGGGGAGAGGTGAAATGACGTGTCCAGAGCACATGGGTAGCTGGCAGAGGAGCTGGGGACAGGCAGGATGAGGAAGGTGCTGTGGGTGGTGCCCACACATGCTCTCAACAAACCCTCCGGCCTTTTTGCGTTGCAGACCACTGACCTCTCGGTGGTGTTCAAGGAGTCCGCTGCCACCACCCCCCTCGTATTCGTGCTGTCCCCTGGCACCGACCCAGCTGCCGACCTCTACAAGTTTGCTGAGGAGATGGAGTTCTCCAAGAAACTCTCTGCCATTTCCCTGGGCCAAGGCCAGGTAGGCTGCTGGTGCAGCTGGGGTAGTGCTGCCGCGCCGGCACTCTCAGAGATCCCACCTAACTCCAGGGAGGAAAACACCCTTGGAACACAGTGAGAGCCCTCCTGCACCAAGGCCCTTCCTCACCAGCCTTCCACCAGCTGGAGGAGCCTAC